CATGTTTACATTAAAGCAGAATGTTGGTGTTGGCTCCAATCCCTAGAATCACAAATATATTTGACAAAAACAGCACATAAAAAATTAATAATTATTTATTAGAGTTATTGTTAATTAATCGATTGTTTTTTGATCAACCCTAGCCCCAAACTGAAATAGATTTTATTTTAGCTGCCATTAAGTTTATTAATGGAATAAAATGATAGACTAAAGCCATTAACTCAGTGGCCTTGGTGCTCGTTTGTATTTAGTGTTGTAAGTTGTTATTTAGATTTACTGTATGCAGTATAATTATAAGGATATGTGGTTTCATGAATATTTATTTATAACAAATATTAGTTCTTCTACAAACAAAGTATCGATCAGTTGCCTCTTGACCTTTTTTTAACTGGTTCAATTTAAATCCAGACAATATTAATACGTGTAATCTGTCCCATAAACATCTACACTCCAGTCATTCTGTGACATGCTGTACCATCCTATCTCTAACGTAGGGGGGCGTGTCTGCTCCACGACTGTCATGTCAACAAGCACAAATAAAACCGTGCACGGTACTAACAGCACCACCCGGTTCTGGACCGTCCCTTATCCACTAAACCGTGTTTATTAGACAAAACGCGCAACAATCTATTTGTTTTATTCTACACTTAATAACGATGTAGTGAACATCACCACAGTTCGTGCTGTTGTCTCTCTCCGGTGGCAGCATAAATTATTTTATTTTATCTCTCATACCTGTCATACCTTACGCAGAAAATCGAACAAAACCAATAATAAATGTGTACCAATAGTTACGTCACGATTATGCCTAAAAGCGTCTTATTAACGCATTGATTAGCTTTATTACTATCAACGCGCATTAGCTGCGTATGTCAAAGACTCAATACAATACGATCTTCTAAACTAATTCAAATATTGTTTTTATTTAATTTTTTCCCCCCAAAGACTTAAACAACACACGTGATTTAGCGATAAAGCGATAGAGTTACCTTCTAGTAAACGAGAGATGAGGCTGTCAACGTTTAACTCGCTCTCCGCCATGTTTCTTATACGGCATACGCAGCAGGTGATAATGGTCAAAGTTAGCCCTGAGTGTAGACTCGGAGGCTCAACTAAAAAGTTTATTCTGTCGGCTTTAAAATGGCCACAATAACAAAACAAAAAACATGTCTGCAGTCATGTGAGTTAGATAGTCTCACAAGGAATCTTTTAATATATATATTTTTTATTTTATTTTTTTACATAGTACAAACAGGTTTTACACACATTTACAATCAGCAAAACTACACTTTTTATCAGTTCAGTACCAGTGATATGAAATGGCTGCTGGTATCTGAGTCCAGCAGATAAAACTAACCAAGATCTTATATACAAATGTGGGCAGAACACAGTGCAGCCAACAACACAAACCTTACATAAACACTGAAACCGCTCACACTGACTCTTCAGTAAACTGGCTGAAAAAAACTGGGAAATATCTGAAGCACCGACAGTAAGAGCAGATCATTAACCATGAGACTAATCTTTTCAAGTACAGTCTGGTAGGAATTCAAACGAGATTCCATTTAAAACAGAGTCCCCATCATCTCCAATTTCTTCACCTTTTTGTTGCTCCGTTGTTGCCTACAGTGGAGAAACAAGTAGCCAACGGTAATGCCGGCCAGTAAACTGACAATTCCCGCAACCACTGGCACCCACACGGGTATGGAGGAGGAACAGATGGTGGGGCTTTTGAGGCTGTTTTGCTTGGTGAAAATGAAGGGAGAGGCCTAAAGTAAAACAAAAACAATCAAGAAGTCAGTGTAAAAAAAAACTGTTAAAAATGTTAAAAACTTGAAAAATAAATTATAAATTGAAAAAAATGTTTGAAGGCAGAATTTTAGGTTTATTTCAGAATTTTGAAAACTGGCTCTAGTACATGTTTGAAGGCAGAATTTTAGGTTCAGAATTTTGAAAACTGGCTCTAGTATTTAGTCACGTAATATTTGTCAGTCAATAATAAATGAAAGGTGTTTAGTCGACTCACTTCAGAGGGACAGTTAATCTTGGAGCGATCGTAGGTGAAGTTGTTGAAGGCCTGTTTCCTGCCCACAGGCTCCAACTGTTCAGACAGGAAATTAGAACTCAACCAGGGACAGAAATGATGTCACTGACTGTGTGTGATGTCTGTTATTTCCCATCACTCACCATGTTATTCCACAGGGCAACGGCCATCTCAGAGTGAGCTCTGTCACTGATGTGGAAACAGTCAACGGAGAAGAAACTGATATCAGACTCCCCCATCTGTGGTGGCAAAAACAAATGCTGGTAAATAGAATTTTCTTTTATATTTGTAAAAAAAATGTTCTTAAAATCTTCTCTGCCACTCACTCCAACACGGGGGACAAAATAATTGTGCAGAAATGGTTGAAGGACAACAGCAAAATCTTCCTTCCCATCGTAGCGATCTCCAGAAACGAGGTACTGGGTCTCAGCCTACGACAATTACATGAAAAAAATATATTTTAAAATGTTTGAATGTTAGAAAATCTAGAAATAGAAAAAAAAAAGAAAAACCCACCTGGTACTGAAGATTGATTTGTTTAATCTCGTCCAACTCTGGAGAGTTCTCAGCTGCGTTAATGACACACGGGCAGTTCATCCTGAAAACAACAAACACTTTCTCTTTAATACCAGAAAAACTCAGACTATAGATGTTGACCACCAGGGGCAGGCTTTGCGACATGTTTGTTTTCCGTATACAGTATATCCAGATATGGACCAGAAATTAAAAGGAAAAAAAGGAAAAAACGAACATTGGCAACAGAGCGCAGGTCAGCGTGTTGTTATTAATCGTCTTCAGTGGATGGATCTGCCAGATCTCCACCATGTTCACCAGGAGACGCGGTACCTAAACATACAGAGACAAACAGAGACGTGACCAAAAGAACACAGATGAGACAGACAAAGTGTTGACTCTCAGCTCACCTCGTGGTACAGCGTGTCCAAGCTGAGCATCAGATTATGACTGTAGTTCTTCGGTGAAAGGTTATTCTGCAGTAGAACAGAAGTTCTTCAGTGTAAATCCACCACATGCATTGATCATGTACAGTCTGTCTGTGCAGAGACGTGTGAACGTCTTCTTACTTGGTCTGTGCAGTAATGGCAAAGATCGCTGGCCCCGACAAATATTGTGACAAGTTTCCAGTCTTTTTCAAAATCCACTTCCTGTGGTGTTTTAGACGACATTAACATAAAGAGGTAAATGTGAAAAAAGACACGTGTGTACGTGAGATCAAGAACAGTCAAACTCCACCTTATCCTCCTTCAGGGCCTTGACGAGGGCTTGGACCTGATCTGGAATATCACTGTAATGTAATGAAACAATAATCAAACAACAGACCAGTGCTGAGGGTGGAATCAGGTCGAAGAAATGAAAGATACGTAGTTGTACTTACGAGGTCCTCGCTCCACGTGCCGCCATGTTGAAGCCCTTCTGTCTCGGCAGAGACCCTTTAGAGAAGCCCTTCAGAGCAGAGTTGAACTTCTTTAAGATGTCTGAAGAGAAACAAAAATATTTTGTCAATGATACCTGCAGTTTGACACTGTATCAAAATACAGGACTTTCCATTGGATTGCAGTAGTATATCCTATACTATATACTATAGTGTATATAAATATATATATACCTCACAAACCTGCCAAAAATTAGTAAATTAGTAAAATAATGATTATAATTAAGACTTTTGTCTAAGAGGAAGTTATGAAGTGATCTCTGTCCACCTACTTGTTATATATAATGTGCGGAGGTTACCTCAAGGTTAATATCTATGAAGTGATCTCTGTCCACCTACTTGGTAGTGTTGTGGTCGTGTTCAGAGTCTTCTCTCCTCCAATGCTGCAAAACCCCAAACATTTCATGTCATGTTTGTCCACAGTCTAACAGTTGTACTAAAGACAGGAAGTCCTACCTCCACGACAGTCCTGGGTAATTTCTATTCAGCTCGAAAAAAGTTTTGGCTTTAGCAGCAGTTCCTGCCTGCAGAGTTGGAATAACGTGTAAATTAGTGGGAGATAATTAGGAATAAATCACACACACAAAAAAAACAAACAGGAAAAATCAGTGAACAAACTCAGAAAATGCTTTAAGTTAAAAAAAAAAAAAAAGCACCAGTGCATAAAAGAGCAGATCATCACAGGCACAGACTGTTATCAGACTGATAACAAACTGATCAGTGAGTTCACAGTTCAGTGACATCAAACAACTGATAGGAGCAGGTTCACTGTTGGTACTCGATGTTAACATGTACAGATATTATTGGTGAATTTGTCATCATATAAATGTGACTGTTTAAAGTGAAGGAAAATAACTGTCTGAGTCAGTCAGTCTGTTGTGTTTTCTTCTTTACCGTCACTGAATCTCCCAGAGCTGCCACCACCATGATGTCTGCCGGTCTCAGTTTGTGGACTAACACAGAACAAAGATTCCGTTAAAGATTCTGCGCCTATTTACAGTTTATTGTCTATAGATAAAACAGGACATCAAAGGCATTGACACATGGCCGCTGATAAACCGTCTCACCTGAAGTTGGCACAGTGTCAGATGGACTGAGGTTTACACACGAGAAGTCACTTCCCCAGTTCTGGAGATAAAAAAACATCAAAAAGTTTTATTTTTTAAATATGACCTCAATATTCATAATCAGATATGTATTAACATTTTTAATCACAGTCACATGATCTGCAATTAATTGTGATTAATTTCCTTCAAACAAATAAGGTCTCATTCAAGGTGATTTTCTGGCCAAATCCTTGCATTTATTCAGTACTTGTCACTCGTAGTACTCTGTGGATTTGTGACTTTTCAGTGCGACTGTTTCCATGACAGGCAACCTGCACTGTGCCTGGGACACCAAAGTCCAGAAGGGGGCAGCAAAATGTATTTAATTACAATGATCAAACATATTTAAATTGGTTTAAATTGCTCTTACTTGGATGGGTGTCGGTGTGGGGGGAGGACCAGAGTATGTGTAGTCGCTGTTTTTATAGGTGCGGATGTACGGTGAGCTCTAGAGGAGACGGAACAAAAACTCGCTATGACTCTCATCAACAGCTGTCAACTGTAACGTCAAGACACAAAAACACAGATTTACAACATTTTTTTTTTATAAAACATTTACCCTGGTTGGACATTTCAGCTCAATGTCCACGGTGAAATCTTGTTTTGAAGTCTTGTTGCCCAGAGGTTCCAGCTGAGAAGGAAGAGTCACGTGACTAATGATGATTATTAAGATATTTCTTATTGTCTGTTGTATGAAAATCTTATTCTTGTGTTGATAAGCCTAGTATGAAAAGTGTCTCTTATGCCTAGTATGAAAAGTGTTCAATAATGAAAGTCCTTTGTCTTCCAGATTTTCACCATGTTGTTCCAAAGGGCTCTGGCCATGATCGTCTGGGCCTTTTGACTGAGGTGGAAGCAGTCGGCACTGAAGTATGAGCGATCAGGGCGGCCGTTCTGGGGAGACAGGTAGAAACACATGTCCACTTTGGATATATTTGTTTTTATTTTAGGTTGTAATATTTTTTGGCACATGTCCACTTTGGATTTTTTTTTTATTTTAGGTTGTAATATTTTTTGTACAATCAATCAAAATCTTTGGCGTCACGGTCACTGACCGGCAGTCGGGGCAAAACAACGTCCCTGAAGAAAGGCTGGGCGACCACTGTGAAGTCAGAGCGATTGTCGTAGTGACCTGACTCCACCACCTCACGCAGCACACGCTTTGAACGACGAAAAAACACAAAGGTTTTAGGAGCCCGTGTCTGACCTTTAACGTCGTAACTGAAGCGTTTTATTGGCTAGAATTCCCACCTGATAGTTTCGGTTGATTTCCTCCAACTTTTGGACGGCGTTAGAGTTGGGCTTTGACAACACGACGCAAGGACACACAATCCTGGAAGAAAAAAGCATGAGACTTTATCACCCTCCGTTATCACATCATCGTCATAATAAGAGCTGATAATCCTGAGAACGGAGTCACGATGAGAGAACAAGAGTTTAACGTCATTTATATATGAGTATTGTTACTGGTAATGAAATTAAGTTAAAGAAAGTTAAACAAACCTAAACAGTATTTTATTATTACATATACATATCACTGTGGATAAAGCTTATTGACTGTTTTTTTGAGAAATATATTTTTTTAAATTTGTTCTAACTTGTTCATAAATATCCATCAAATGTCAACACAGCCATGTTGTGACAAACAAACGCATTAAGAGCAGATTTTTTTAATGTTCTTTTTGCCTCTTAACATGCCTCAAAATATCATTACAGACTCTGTGCAACATGAACTAATACCTGGCTGTGTTTGCTAACATCAGGGCGACTTGGTCTGCAGCAGAACTTGATGATCTAAATCATCAAGCGTCATGTGATAACGTAGCTTTTAGCTAGAATCTGAGCAGATGTCTGTACTCACTTCACCAGCCATGTTGGACAATTCAGGGAGGGGTCTGTGTGCATTTCTTTCAGAGGAGAGATGAACATAGGCTCCACCAGGTTGACCAGAGCTCGAGGCACCTGTCAGACGTGACATCAGTTAATGCTAGCTATCGATCACACCCGCACACACGTTTGCAGTTTAACAACAACAACAGCGTGTTCCTGTCTCTACCTCTCTGTGCAGATAATCCAGGGTTTCACGCAGATACCGAGCGTAATTCTCTTTGGAAAAGAGAAGCTGCGAGAACGATAAAATATATTGACATCATGTTGTCTGTATTCAGCTAGTTTTTCAGTGGCAGCTGATGACGGCTAACTCACAGAGTTGTAGCAGAAGTCGCAGAGGTCGTTGCCACCGATGAAAACTGTGATCACCTTCCAGTCGTTTTTGAAATCAATTCTCTGTGCAAAAAAACAAACACATGGCGCCGTGCACTTTCAACTGTTGTCACCTTTTTGGATTAGCATTAGCATTAGCAACAGTAAAATGAACAAATAGTCCATTAACTCACAGAGTCATTCTTCATCCTTGCCACCAGGGCCCGTGCCTGTGGGAGCAGTTCTCTGAAGACACAAGGAGAACAGAATGATGTCAGGATGATGTCAGAATCAGAACAGAATGATGTCAGAATGATGTCAGGTTGATGTCAGAATGATGTCAGAATGATGTCAGGATGATGTCAGGATGATGTCAGGATGATGTCAGGATGATGTCAGAATGATGTCAGAATGATGTCAGGTTGATGTCAGAATGATGTCAGAATGATGTCAGGATGATGTCAGGATGATGTCAGAATGATGTCAGGATGATGTCAGGATGATGTCAGGATGATGTCAGAATGATGTCAGAATGATGTCAGGTATTTTAGCAGTTATTACTGTGTACAGTTCTTACTTGGTCTTGGCTCCAGCTACGGCCTGGTTGAGAAAAGCATTTTCAGAGTTTTGTTTGCCCATTCCCACAGAGAAGCCCGTCACGTTGGGGTTGAAATATTTAATGAGGTCTGGGGGGGGGGGGGGGGGAATAAACAGAATAGACAGTTTAGAAGGAGAGATGTGGCTGTGATGTAAATGTCTCTGTGATGATGGAGACTCACTGGGCAGAGTGGTGACAGTTGTGAGGTTTCCATCTCCACCAACACTGAAAAAAACATGATTAACTGTTAAACAGTTAACAGTAGCAGCACTTTTATAACTTTTTTTATAACAACCCTGTATGTGCTGTTGTGCAGTTGTGTAGTTTTCCAGGACGCACCTCCAGGATAACCCCCTGTACTGACGCAGGACGTCCAGGATGTTTTCTGGGCTGGATGCAATACCGTTTCCTGCCTGATGGAGCGTAGACCCAGACAGGACAAGTTCAGATCAAATTCCATTTGAACTATAAATTAAGGTCAGCAGCTTTTGTTGATTAATCAAGTAGCAGTTATTTGAGTGTACATGGAGTGAGCCACGAACCAGGTTTTTTTCAGGTGAAATATAATTGAAAATGTAATCCACCACCACAGCAGTCACTTCATTTGTGATTAAATTAAAGTTTAAAGTTAAATTAAAGACAGTGTGATGTTTAGTACTGTTGTTTAGTAATGTCATTGATAAAAAGATTTACACCAGAAATGATTATTTCTTTATTAAAGTGAATAAAAAACAACTGTGAATCTTTGACTGAATCAGAGGTGATACCATTTTAAAAAAACTAAAATTCCAATTATTATCACACGCATCAAAGTGTTCATTGTCCAGTCTGAATTATATTTTTATTTTTACATAACAATCCGTGTCTGATTTCACGTTTCTAAAGAGGAACAAGAAAAATAACAAGTCACCGTCAGAGAGTCTCCTAATGCAGCCACAACGCTGACGTCCACGGGCCTGAGTTCATGGACTGACATCAAACCACCGGTTAGATTCAGGTGACACAAAAAATCAAATGTGTGAAAACAGAGGCGTGAACAAAGCACCGACCTGTGGTGGGTACGGAGTCCGAGGGGCCGAGGTCCTCGCAGAGCATCTCTGTTCCTGTGACCTGATTGGACGGACACAGCACACACACGGTCAGAACCAAACAGAACCCAAGTGACACCGCTGCCTTCATTTGTACTCACTGAATAAAGGAGAGGAGAAACTGGGCTGTGACGATCTGTGGGAGAGTTGTCCTCTGTCCTCAGGAAGGGACGCTCCTGGAGGCGGGACAAAGACAATCACACAGAATATAAATAAAGAAATAAACAAGAGAAATTCAAGATACTGTATCAGCTTCTGAGCATGAGTATAAATCACCTCAGTTGGACAAGGCAGAGTGGAGACGACTCCTCGTCCGTCCATGGTGTCTTGGTCCTGTGTGGGCTGCAGCTGAGACACAGAAAAGTCACTGTCTCTCCATGTTTGTGTGACCAGTCTTCAACCACACGGGCTGTTGTTGTTGTTGTTGTTGTTGTTGTTGTTGTTGTTGTTGTTGTTGTTGTTGTTGTTGTGAGGACTCACCAGGTTGGCCCACATCTGCAGCAGCAGTTCATCAGTTTGCTGTGAAGTTTCTGCCTCAGAGAGAAGCTTCGCTCTCTGTTAATCACACAACGTCGGTCACATTGTGCATGAGTGAGTGATAAACACAACGACAGAACAACAGCGAGATAACCAGGACTCTGTGTCTGTTGTTTCAGTACAGACATTCTCACACGTTGGATTACAGTGTGGTTTTGATAGAAAACATTTGATGGATGACTGTGGGATGTTTTGTGTTCCAGGTACGGGAACGATCTGAGGAGAAGGACAGTGAAGTGTAACTCACAGCAGAAGATGAGACGTCTCTAACCAGTGGTGTGTTCTGCAGAGTAACAGTGAAGTCCCCTCTGTCACCGTACCACCTCCTCTTCACCAGGAGCTCCTCCAGCGACACCTGCTCAACGACACGTTGGAGTTTTTACTCCAAAGGTAGGAAAAAAATATCCACGTCTGTCATAATAACCAAAGCATGACGTAGACAGACCTGCAGGGACTGTGTCAGTGTGGCCCTCACAACTCTGGCTTCTCCATCACTTGTTACTGTGGCTGGATTTGTCCTGTCAGAAAACAACAAACCCACAATAAATACAAAGACTGTTAGAACTGAAGGCAGTTCAATCATTTGAAAGTCATTAGGAAAGAAGAACATCAACTAACCTGGTCTGGAAAGCCTGGTGCTCTCCATCCCATAATGCCACACTGACAATGGTCCGCTTTAACTGTGATATAAAACAGTCTTGTTGGAGCAGCAAACGTTGTAAGACTACAGAAAAGTACTAGATGTACTCAGAGTACCTCAGAGTACAGCAGCTGCAGGGCCTGGTCCACTTCATCCACTAAGGCCTGAACACCAGACTGAACCTGGACACACGAACCTCAGATTTAGTGAAGTCTGGTGACATTGACTGTTCAAGAGTGGCTAAATCTGGAGCTGATGAGGCCAAGGAAAAAAAACAAAAACATAAAAATAAAAATGAATAAAACATTCAGTTGCGTACCTGCTGCTGCTCCAGGGCACAAAGTCCATCTACCTGCACAAAGAGCAGCACCAGCTTCCAGTCTGCGTCCAAGTCAATGACCTGTGGACAGAAAAATGGAATAAGTCAGTGTGGATTTGAGGTTAAATCGAAAAAAGACAAGTGTAACAAATCTGAGGTTCCAGATCTGAATACGACTGGAGGTGATGAAGAAACGACATGCCTCGTTGTTCTGAAGGTAAAGTGTCAGGTCCTTTGCCTGCTCCAACATAGTCCTGGTAAATAAATAAAAAAGGTCACTTGAAATCACCACAGAAGAAGAAGGCAGTGATGTGACGATGCTGTAAGTTCTCTGTACCTTTGCTGAACAAACGGAGATGAATATGAGTCTGTGAGCGGACTGACCAGAGCAGGGTTGAACAGAGTCATCAGCTCTGACAGACAGACAGACAGACAGACAGACAGACAGACAGACAGACAGACAGACAGATATCAATTATTATAGACATTGTTTTTACAACAAACACAAAGTTTGTTTGCATTTTCTGCATTATGGAAAATTGTGTTTTGCCTTGTTCTTATATTGTATGCCATGTGTATTTTTTGGCATTTTTTGACAAAGCAAGAGTAAATGTTTAATGTTTTATGACTTTATAGTACGTGGGTACATGTCTTTGGGGTAATTATTGTATTTTCATGCCTTTTTGTAACAGAAACATGAGGGTTTTTGGTTTTCTTTTGCACAGTTATATTAATACAAGACAGAAAAATAGCATGAACAGCAGACTACTGCAGTAGTGTCGTAGTAGTTATCAGTGCAGTAAAGATAAAACAAATCGGTGTAAAGTACAAACTTTTATCTGTTTCTGTAACACTAGAGTGTAAACTTTGTAAAGACTTGCAAAAACAAAGTTAATTTCACATAAATTAGGACTTGGGTTTCACCTGTGAGTCTGGACAACACTGTGGACAAATCAGTGCTGCAGGAAGAAAAAAAAATTAGATTTTTGTCGTCACATTAAGGAGTTTCAGATCTTGTGAGGAAAATATAAAGATGAAGCTGAGAACTCACTTGTACGTGTACAGTCCAGTGGTGGCGAGCACAGACACATCTGACGGCCGGACACTGTTGACTGAGGACAGAGAGGCACAAAGGTCAAACATGTGAATATGAAATGACAGATTTACAGATTTACACAATTAGAAATACAAATGGGATGTGAATATATTCAGTATAAATGGGATCAATAAATGTGATAATAGACTCACCCGATAACGGGGGAGACTGGGAGGGAAACATCTGAGCACAAGGCAGACCTGATGCTAAGAAGACCAGAAAAGTTAGCAAAAGAAATATTTTTTAAAAAATCAATCAATTTAAATCACAAAAAAACTTGAAAACTGAAAAATTTAAATGCATTTTTTAAACTACTACAGCAAATCCTAGATGGACCTACGACTGGGACGACCACAAAAATGCAAAAATAATCATTTAGATTAGTAACAGTAATCTGGGAATTTGTTTCATTATTTTCACATTTTTGGTCACAATCAAAATCAATCAAAATAGAGATTATGCCAAAATATTTTTTTTCTATTTAAACCAAAGGATATATGATGAAGAAATGTAGAAATATATTGATGAATTTGAAGAACCTGTTGTCCACGTCACACTCAACAGTGTGATGACGAGCATCCTGGGATTCATCTTCTCTCTCTGGTGTCACCGGCTCCTCTCCGAGTGGATCCTTTCTTCCTTCTCTGCTTTCTTGTCTTTCCTGGTTATTATCAGTTACACCTGGGCAAGTGCACGTGGTGAGCCTGCACAGAGGGAGGGGGTCAAAAGGACAGGTTTGATTTGTTTTATAATGACACAGTGACAGTGACTTGATAAGAGTGAAAATTGTTATTGTTTGAGTGATTGTAAATGACTCGTAAAACAGGACGTTTCTAGAAAAAAAAACACTTTCACTTCTGTGGTTACAATAAATCAACGTCACCAATGAAATCACAGTGTAGAAGGTTGTGATATTATGTTATGATAACTGTTGTACACTGACGCTACCCTAATAGTTTGTGCATTGGAGACTTGGAAGTGTTGGGTGAGCCTCCTGTAACTGAAACAATGTAAAAAGTCAATTAATCCTGTTGAAAATATATATTTCTAAATCAACACATGAAGGTAAAGTCTCCTCTTATTGTCCAGATCTTGCGTAAATTCAACTTTATAAACAACGTGTCATTGTCATAAAAGCGGAGCATTGGTTATCTCTCCGGCTGATCATACTGTGAGATAAAAACACAGATGTAAACACTGACGTGAAGAAAACAGTGAAAAGTACTGAAGGAGAACGTTGAACTGAGCCACAGTTAGAACCGAATTGAAACAATAAGGCCAGGTTCCTATCCTTGTCTCCTTACTGCTCCTGGAAGACCTTTAAATACCGTTACAAACACAGTCACTAACCAAAGAGTCGACTCTCTCTCTGTGTAATTACTGTTCTCCTGATATGAGGTTGTGCACGAGGCCCTTTACAGTCTGTTATCTTCCTGTCAAGGACTTATACTTTGTATGAACCTCCCTTCTGAGTCCTAACTTTTATCCTCCTGATCTATGCTAATCTCTGAACAGATGAGCAGGACAATTTGTCCTGTGATAAGCCAACAATCTTTCTCTGGATCTGTGCAAGCATTACAAAACCGAGGCCGACCTCAGATGAATATAACGACATGATTTAAATGACAATCTCAGTGCGGCTGTGGCTCCTAATTACACCCAGTTTAATAATCACAGTATGTCCTCATCTGTGTAGTTACCTTTAAGTGTTGGATCTTAATTACAGTTGAAAAAAGTTACATTTGTAAAAAAAAAAAAAGTTTGTTGTGTCCAGTGTTCCAAATTTAATATTTCCGATCATATACTGTAGGTTTAAATATTTTAAATTAGAGCATATTTATGCAATGTCAAAATGAACTTTCTACATACGAGACAGGGTTTAGTTTCAAATGTTTGAAGAGAAAGTACAAGCCTTTAGTCATTAAATGTTGTATTTTTTTATTTATTTATTTGTACGTATGTATTGACAGCTATTAATGTATTACATGAACAATACAGAGTACTCGAGAGACCTCCTGTGGTCCGTATGGTGAACTGCACTAAGTAACAGCTACACCCTGAAAAACCTGACTTTAAAATGGCAGTTTTATTTTTATATTTCACTCTCATTAATTTCTTTTCCCATTAATATTTTTACATATTTTTTATGACTTTGAGTCATCCTATCTGTATCGCTCATTTGTTGGAAGAAGTCAAAAATGAAACTAAAAAATAAACTTAAAACAGGTCGTTTTTACAGAGATCCGCCCTCAAACGTTAAATCCAGCGTTTCACGGTGATGAAAACGAGCTCATCCCTTAGACATTTGACTCGCAGTGACTTCTGGGAAATAAAGGCAGGTACTGCGTTACGTCAAAAAGCGGTCGGGAAACAAGGGGGGGAATTTGGTTGTGGTGACGAAAACCAGTGGACCAGACATGGCAGCAACGACTTTGTCTCATGAGCCGTGATGTTGTACCGTGGGCAGCGGCAGCAGCAGCAGCAGCAGCAGCGGCGGCGGCAGTGGATAAACCACAGCATAATACCTCGTCGTTGCTTTGTACCATGAAACATTTTTTACGATAACGGACTTCGCCACTGCTTCGTGACGCATACCGGAGCAACAATGGCCGCCGGTGGGTTTTTTTCCCGTGCTTTTAAACACCATTGTAGCCTTACCATACACCGAAAACAAATGTATTAAAATAAAAATAAAAAAGGAGGAAGTGAATTAATCTGCTTTGTCTCATCTGTATAGTTGTCAGTGTGTCGTATTTATGACATTAGCAGCACGTTGTTATGTGGGTGGGTTAATTTATAATAGGCAGCTGTGGGTGTATATAACAACATAAATAAGTATTCAACGAAACTACACTAAACCTCGAGCGTTGCAAGCAGTTGATGACTTAAGTTGTGCCCAATCGTAGCGAGACGTCTACACATAAAAGCTAGAAATGTGAAGTCACGGAACCCCGTAAAGCTCAGACCAGAAATAGCTAAAACTGAAGCAACATTAGCTTTAAATAACATATGGCTGAGAAAGAGCCACAAATCAATACAAAGCTAAAAGCCTATGACCAAGGAATAGCTCAGCAGGCTAATAACATAGCCTGCTACGCTATGGTTTAAAAGTAAATGTGAAAACAACTTAAATCCGTGTTCGAAAATGAGCTCATTGTCTTTTGCTAAAAGATGGGAATTACACGCATTTTAAATAGTACTGTATGGGACAACTTAATAATTGCTATATGTAATAAAAATGCATATCTTGTTCATTAAATTAATACAAATGGTAGTTAAATGTTAGTCAAATCCTAACCCATACTTTAAATATCAAATCGTTAGCCAAACACTATCCTAACCCATACTTTAAATATCAAATTGTAATTTGCCCAAACTGAGAGATAATACAGAGATTGCTAATAGTTAGCACATGGTGGGCTACAGTGATAAATATTTTCATCATATTAACCTGGTAATATGTAGTTTGTCTTAGTTCAGCTTTACATTCAAAGCCAGTGCTACTGAAACATTTGAGTCACCGCTGTGATTTTTGTCCTCAGAAAATGTGAGCATGGGCTTCAAGCTGTACTGCCTGACAGTGATGACTCTGGTGGCAGCCATGTACACGGTGGCGCTGCGATACACCAGGACCATCTCATCTGGAGATCTTTACTTCTCCACCACAGCAGTGTGCATTACAGAGGTCATCAAATTAATACTGAGTCTGGGGATGTTGACAAAGTAAGTGGTACTCACGCTCAAACACTTGAAATCGTGACAAACGGATGAATGTAGTTACACGTACCCAGTTGTGTTTGCAGCAGCAGCAGTAATGATTAATACAGCACAGTTTTTTGCCGTGTACTTTGGAACATGAAAAATCTTTAACTCTGTTGACCGAGAGTTTATATCAAACATGGCAAACAAAACGAAATGGGCTGAACAGCTGTTTAAACAACACTGTTGTAATTAACAACATTAAAAAAATTAAAAAAAATAGTGTGCCGTTTGTCAAAGTACCCAATAAGTAGTGGAACTAATGGACAAAGAAGAACATTAGGAAAAACATACCAAAATTTATGAAAGCAAACATGTTAGCTCCCAAGTAGCTGAGAGAGAGAAAGAGAGAGAGAGTCAAGACAACAGCTAATGTTTATAAGATGGGAAAGTTGAATGGGTGGAAAAGGTTTATATTTTTATCTAAACCATTCTACGTTTGCTTTTATTTTCATATTTTACAGAATTCTCCATTTAAATAAATCAGGTAGCAGACAGAGGAGACATCAACGTGTGTAGTTAGTGGCGTCTATTAGTCTGTACTTCTGTCCTTCTTTCAGGGAAACAGGAAGTCTTAGCAGACTGAAGAACGCCATCGTAGAACACGTGTTCCTCAGTCCAAATGAACTGCTGAAGCTGAGTGTTCCCTCTGTAGTCTACGGAATTCAGAACAACATGGCCTTCTTGGCCTTGAGTAACCTTGATGCTGCAGTGTATCAGGTAGGAATGTTACATTTGACTTTGACTGCAGATCCAGGGTGTGTACCGTGAAGCTCAGTGTATGGGGCTGTGACTTCTTCTTCAGGTGACGTATCAGCTGAAGATCCCGTGTACGGCCCTGTGTACCGTCCTCATGTTGAATCGCTCTCTCAGTCGGCTGCAGTGGTTCTCTGTCTTCATGCTCTGTGCTGGTGTCACACTGGTACAGTGGAAACCAGCAGAAGCTACAAAGGTCCAGGTAGGAGTGCTGACAGTGGTAATGGTAATGGATGTGGCCTGTTTGGCTTTCTAATTCGGCCAAACTTGTCCAAGAACAGACAGGGAAATACTTTTCAAACGCGTTTCATTTCTTTTCCTTTTTTTTCGCAGGTTGAGCAGGATCCTGTCATTGGCTTCGCCGCCATCGCTGTAGCGGTTCTGTGCTCTGGATTTGCAGGTAAACACAGTCAATATGTTAGCAATAAATGTGTCCTTTAACCAGTTAGCTGCTTCACAAACTCAAAAGCAACGTCCATTGTTCAGGTGTGTACTTTGAGAAAGTTCTGAAGAGCTCCGACACGTCCCTGTGGGTCAGGAACATACAGATGTACCTGTCGGGCATCGTGGTCACGCTGATGGGCGTTTACGTGACTGACGGTGAGAAAGTCCTGGAGAAGGGCTTCTTCTTTGGCTACACGCCCTGGGTGTGCTTCGTCGTCTGTAAGTAGGATAAATCAAGACCTACGTCCCACTCCTTTCACTCCAGTCCAGCTGATGTTGGTTTCTCTCTGCTGACAGTCCTGGCCAGTGTGGGTGGTCTGTACACGTCTGTGGTGGTCAAGTACACGGACAACATCATGAAGGGCTTCTCTGCTGCCGCTGCCATCGTCCTGTCAACGGTGGCGTCTGTCGTCCTGTTTGGATTACAGATAAGTAAGTTAGCAACACACTGCTAAAAAAAACCACATCAGAGCTAAATGTGAGCAGTGAATGAAAATGAAAGGATAAGTTCAATGGTTTTAGTTTCATTTTGTAGGATGTTTCTGAGTCAGGTTGGGGACTTTTCCACCTTTTTTAGCTCAAGTTTCTGACATAGTGTAAGTAGTTCAAGTGTTAAAGTTTATGAAAAGTATAATCAACATAAAAATATTTATGCTTTATTTATTTCTCCTGTTTTTCAGCCATTACCTTTGCCTCTGGTGCCCTGCTGGTGTGTGTCTCCATCTACCTGTATGGACTTCCCAAACAAGACACGTCCAAACTGAGCAGAGAAACGACAGAGTCCAAGCAGAAACTGATGACTGTGTAACTCACTCAGCTGCAGCTGCTGCAGCAGCTCCTTTAAAAAGTCACTTTTGTGGAGATGTCAGCAGCAACAAACACAGCTGCATGGAGGAAACCCAGAGTTGGAGTACTCTGAGTATTTCATCTTTTATTTTTTTAAATTGCTCTGTCTTTTTATTTTTAATTAATTGTAACCCTTTCATGCATGACGGTCATTACAGTGGACAGCTATGAAATGTCATTTTCTATGATAAGAATAGGTTTTGATGGCAGTGTTGCATATAAGCTTCTACAGTGGACGCCTGAGAATCACCCAACACTGCCATACAGTGGTCAGCCTTTGCAACTGCAGAATAATTGTGTCAACATTCAAAAAGAAAATTTGGTGTATAAAAACAGAACCAAATCAGTTCTTATTTTTATGTCTATAAACCCATGAAAACACTTAGAAACATTTTTTAAAATTTATATAAACCCATAAAAACACATTTTTTTAACTTGGGTCATGCATCAAAGGGTTAATGACTGAACTTTTGACTGAAATTTTTAGCTGTTTCCTCATCTCCACTTACATGTAGTAATATAAATAGAATTTATAGTTAGTTACCAAAGTGTGTTAAACCAAAGTGTGGTGAACCATAATCTGTTATCTAAGTGTGTTAAATAATGGTCTGCTTGACAGGAGTAGATACTCCTAAATGGTTTTTTACAATGTAAGTACATAAAGGATGAGGTCTGTTTCTCATCAAGTATGGGAATCGGATGAACTTTGCCCTGAGAGTAAAACTTAAAGAAAAAAAACAACTGCTCAGTACTTGTGAAACTTTCTCAATAAAAGGAGCTGCAGTCCTCATACACTTTGGGACTTAGGTGACCCAGCTCTGCGAAGCTGTTGGTCTCTCTGCTCCCTCTCGCAGCGAGTAAAAAGTACAACGTTGTCAGGTGTGGTTCTTTTCAGGTCATTCTATCTGCGGCAGTTAGATGACAATAGTGGTGACTGAATAACATAATTTTCGACACCAACAAGTAACAAGAAATTTACACTGAACTTTACTGCCTGAGAGTATTTTATAGCCAGTGTTTCAATACCACGGAATCAGAGATCTGTTTGTCAGAAACAAAAGTCATTTTAAATGTAAAGTTTTTTTCAATTTTTTTCAGCTAAGAATACTTCTGACAGTAATGAAGTGCAAGGTTCCAGAAGTTACTGCAGTTTTGGTTTTACATTCCACCGGATTGTTTTAAAATATTCTATTTCATGGTTTCTAATCATGTAAAAAGTCTTTAAACTGACATTAATAAAAATCAATTTCAATAAAAAAAAACGCCAAAATGAATGTTAAATAACCAGACTTATAACAGATTTATTGTCGATGAATTGTTAACATAACATCCACACAGCCTCACATCACTTCAGGTACTGCAGTGATTTATGCCGGGGTAAAATAACTTGTAAATAAACAGCACACTCACCCCTGGTCTGAGGAACCAAGGAGGTCTTGCAGTTCTTTGCCTAAAACATGAGACTTCTTGCATGTTGTGTAACTTGAAAACCTGCTCAACAGTATTTTTAAAGCCTATCTATTATATCACCACATCATATATAGTATAATGTTGTACGATGCAAAACCAATATTTCCCACTAGATGGTAGCATTTGCCTATTTTTGTAAGCCCAAAAAGAAATCGTCAGATTTGAAATACTCAATTTCCCACAATGAACTGCGGCGGGCTGTTGGCTTCGCTGTTTGTCCGACTGTCGCTTCAACACAATGCAGCTTTTAATGGAGCTGTGAGTGGTGCGGGGCAGAAAACGCAGCACTACGGCAGGCTCGTCCGGAGACTGTAGAATTCAAGCGGACCGAGGCTGCAAAGCTGTGACGAACCAGCCGGGTGGCGGTTCCTAACATCTATTATTTATACCGTTTTCTCTCGGACTCATTCACGGACTCTGGTGCTGCTGTGGTGAGTAGCTGCCGAAGCTAACCCTGTTCTGTGTATGTGTATGTGTGTGTGCAGTTAAAGCAAATGCATTTTGTTGTGACCACTGCTGGCTAGCGGTGCTAGCTAATTGGCCAGATGAAACATATGGTCTCCCGTGTATCCCCTCCGTGCGACCCCCCGTTCTTCCATCTTTAGAGAAGACTAATCTCCTCAGCTCACCATGGCCATGTTACACTCAATATGCCGCTAACATGGATGTAAACGAGCGGTAGCCGTTATCACACATTGACTTTAAATTGTGTTTTCAAACCGCAGAAAGTCGTGAGTCTGTTTTGCCTCGAATCCCAGCGGAGGCACCAGTCAACCCAGCCGGTGTAAACCCGGTGTTTGCCGCCTTCGGAGACCCTCTCTCTGTCTGTCCATAGAATGTTGTTTATGCTCATAATTCCCTCCGTTAAAACATGATCTACAACCCACTACCAGCCCCCTGTAGCTACAACGTCACGTCTCGCCAAATTCCATTTGTAGAAGTGTCCTTTGCTACCATTGGCCTATTTAGGTACCTTTACAGGAATCACTGCACTGGTTCTACACAACCTATCTGTACCACAAACAATTTGGAACCTCTTTTCGTGTAGTTTCAAGGCTCTAAAGTAATGACATTGCCTTCTTGATCAGATGGAGAATCTCCTGAGGTCAAAGGTGTTAAAATTCTAAAGTCAATCTCAAGCTCTTGCTTAAAAAAAGGAATAGTGCTTTTTATATATTTATATATATATATAGACGCACAGCTGATATGTTCTCTCTGCGTTTACCCCATCTCTCCGTGGGCTAGGACACTCTCAGGATTCCAACCTGCAACCTCCCAAGAGCAAGCGCAGGCACTGACCTTTGACCTCCACTAGCACAGGTTGCCCCAGGTATGTACCAGTCAACGAAAAGGAGAGATTTCTTTTTGTTGTTGTACAAATAAGCAGCAATTAATGAACCTTGTAACCGTTGTCTGATCAGGATTCCTGGAGAGCAACTTTAAGTCGATGGTGTGCTGTCATGTTGTGGTTGATGCTTATTTTGAATCCAGACGCTGCTCGTAGAATGCTAACATTTAGACAGATGTGATTTGCGACATGCTAATGGATGTCAGCAAAGAGGAATCTTTTCGAAGAGTAAAGGCTACGTTAGGACGAGGCTCAGCACGTTTGTGTTGAAGAAGGTGTAGTGCCAAGAGCAGGGTCTCTTAGACAGGATTTTTTAACCAGTAAATCATTTTTCCCTGAGTTTGCACAGCTGGGATCTGCTCATGTAACAAATGCTTAACCTGAGCTGCAGGCCTGTCAGACGATGCTTCCGCATTTGTCGATTTGTACTCAACAGGTAGGACAGGATATGCAGAAAATATGGGTCAGCTTGTGTATTTTGTCCAGCATAATGTGTATTTTATATCCCTGCAACTTTGAGGCTACACAAAGATGCTGAGCACAACTGCACGCAGTGTTTAGAATCTGATGATGCAGAGAAAACTCTAGAAGGGATGGTGGCAGGACACCGTGTAAAATGCAAAAGTTTTACTTTATGTGCAAAGACAGAGAGAAAAAGTTAGACAAAGACAACACACACTCTGCTGGTGTGCGTTCTGCTCTGATGGGTTTTAAACCCAGCATCAGCCTCAGTGAACTGTGATGTCACGAGCCAGATTCGGACGCCAGCAGCAGTGACAGTGTCACAGTGGACACTGTTTGGTACATTTCACATTTGTCTCTCTTCCCGACAGGACGGCAAAAGAAACATCTTAGTGCGTGAACTGAATGAGGACAGATGGATTTTATTAGTCGTCCTCATCTGCTCCAAGAGAAAGTCTTTGTCAGATACAACCTCATAACGCACAGCACTTTTTGGAAGATTAACAACAGTTCTTTATGCCTATTGTTTATCTATCAGAAATCTCATTGGCTGCTGCAGCTAATGAAAACTGTGAGCCATGTGCAAACAGATTAAACACATGTGCATTGGTCACAAACAAATAAATTGAAATAAGAAACTCTATATAATATAGTGCATGTTTCTCAGTTTTCTTATCTATTTTCTAATGCTAATGCACACACTATAGCATGGTGTGTTAGCTGTGACAGTCCTGGTACAAAACTTAGAGCAAATGTTAGCTTGTAGTGGTCCTGGTCAAGACAACAGAGCTAACGTTAGCTACGACAGTTCTGTTTCAGATACTAGAGCTAACGTTAGCTACGACAGGGGTCAAATAAGTTTCTGTACTTGTCAGTCATGTCCAGCGGTGATGATTGTTGTTGCTGCAGTAACTGCACCTACAAACAAGTGATAACTGTACATGGTTCCACACTGTGATCAAGAGATTTTTATTTTGTTTTGCTCATGGTGACAGCATTGGCACAGCATGCTGGAATATTGTTTTCAGCTTAAGGGCACATGATGATCTCTGGGTGCCAACATACAGCGTTGCTGCTTCATCAGCGTTACATCATGTTGCCATATGCTGCATTTTCTCCTTCCCCAACCCTTGTATAACTCAGAGGTCATTTTAATGGCACCATTGACCTGAAGCTACCAATTTGAAAGTAATTAAATAGTACCGAATGTTTAGTTTTATACTCAAGAGATTAACTGTTAAAATTAGTCTTGTGCTGAAATTGGCTCCGTCTCCTTCAATCAGGTGCAGATGATTGACAGGTGGAGAGGTTCTTCTCAAAGCCGGTGTTCTTTTTAATTGGCAGGTTTCCGCCGCACATGTCGAGATGAATTATAAACTACAGACCTCTAGACTCCCTACCCACTGTCAGACTGTGCTGTGAGACAGTGTTGGAGTTCGACTCTGACTGTATCGCTGAAACTTCTCACTCAGCGTGGATACAGCAAGCCTTTTCCTTCGTCAAATGAACATCCACTGCCAAAGGCATGAAAAGTTAGCCCACTAAAGACATCCTGGTCTGTGTTTTTCTCCCTTTTTTTTATAATAAAAAATAATCCTGACATGAACAGATGTAACAGCCGAGTGGAGGAAGAAGCTGAAGAATGATGAAGTGATGGTAGGACTTTTACTTTTTGGCAGAGTAGGCAGATGGCAGCTCCATGTGCCATGTCTGCGAGTCAGGCCGCTGGATTTCTCAGCTAATTCACTGACCAGGCAGCGATAGTTCCTTAAATAGAAGCACAATTTCCCCCCCGTTCTCCAGTGGACCGTAGTTAGTGCATGTCACTGTCAAACCACGGACGGTGGATGCAGGAAGTTGCTGAAGCAGTTGAAAATAAATGGTTTATTGTCAGGCAGAAGTAAACATTTGATTGTCAACTCCTATTTCCAAACAAATTAACCCCGTCTTGTGCACCCGACGACCCCGCCGTTGTCACAGTGCCCGTGGTCGAGCCCTCGGTGTTGGTGAGACTGAATGGGTTTTTAACAGCGCGACTTAATGTTTTGTTGACACTCAGGTGCAATTTCTTACGGGGTGGTACATCGCAATAATTCTCCCACGTCAGGGGCTAATCACTCTGGCTCTACTCCCACAATCCATCAGTGTCTGGAGGCCGAGGCTTGTGGGGTTCTGGCAGCTGTTGTCGGGTTGAGTCAATCCGTTCTGGTCTGGTGTGAGGCAGGGAGAGAAAGGGCTCTCAGGAGGAAACTGTGAGAGGAGCTGATGCTGCTGCTGTGGAGAGATAACGCCTTGAATTATGTGTTGAGTGCAGGATTTAAGGGCCTGTGTGTTAATTTTGCTGTGTATCTCTGTTAACGGCTTCTCCTGTAAAGGGTTTCGCAGGAAAGAGCCGGGTGTTAATGCACTTGTAGGAAGGAAGCGGCGCAGCAGAGCTGTTTGTGTGCAGCGTCTGACGTTCATTATTGAAGGCTTGTATGACTGGTGTCATGTTAACAGTTACTGGGTTTGAGTGAATACAACTATAAGAAGCACTTGGGTTGGGATTTTCCAACCAACTCGAGATCAGATCCCATTTCTGATCCGTCGTTTGGGATCAGTAAACTACAGTAGCATTGGAGAAAGGTAAAAAAGTTGATGAAATTGACATAAATCACACATATTTACAAAATTGTTCCAAACCTGAAAGATGTCCTCTGTAACACACATTTAGAACCCAGGAAATAGTGAGTGACTTGGGTGAAATCCTGAGTTAATTATGGACAATCATGCAATTAATTGTATTAAAATATTTTAATTAACACTGTTAATTAAAGGTGACTCACACTCAATTAAATATCAACACTGAAAAAAGTCATAGAGTTTCTAACCAACAACCTTGCAGTGATGAAACTTTTAATGCGGTCCCTGGTGGGGGACGAGAGCGCTCCTGGCTAGATTCAACTCACCTCAGAGTCCCGGCTTCTCTGTCTGTCTGGGACGTTAACTGTTTTATGGATGAAGCCAAGTGTTGATGTTGCAGCGTCGGCTCATTAGGGGGCGTGTCTGCTGAGCCCTGGCAGAGCCTGTGCAATTATCATTAACGCAAATATTTGAAGTGCTACTTTCATTTTTCACCCTGTTCGTTGCGCACATCTGTGCTGAGATTTTGCAGGGCAGCTGGCGGGGAAAGTTCCCATAATAGCTCTTCTTCTTGTGACATTTTTGTCAAATGTTATACCAACGTGAGAGAATTATAGGCGAGGTGTGGTAGGAGGTGTCACATCAGGAGAAGCGCCAGAGAAACTGTGGCTCCCTTCATTTCCTCGTGTCACTGGTTTTCTCTCTCTATGCAAATGACTCCAAACCCTGGCACGTACTGTAAACGCACGTTCATGTTAATGATGCATCAAAGGTTCTACCACTTAGTAGTGACTGCAGTCACATTTATTAAGTTCTCGTGCAGCCACTAAAGCCACTGGACCATCAGGTCCAATTAACCGCATTATTTCTTTGCCAAACTCTTCTCACGGTGCTTAAATTTTCAGAAGTGATATTCAACAAAGTAAATTAGCATGGCACTTATTGAACTTTTTTAGATTGGGTTCCGCCTCTAGAATGGTTTCTCTCCAAGTACCACCAGTGTGACCAGTGTAAATGATTTTCTCTCCACCAGTGTGACCAGTGTAAATGATTTCTTTCTTAAGATACAGAATACTCCCGTGAGTTAGCTTACCGATGTGAGCTAGCTAACCAGTGCAATCACGGTTTAACACTTTGGTTGTTAGCTTCATGTAGCTTCATACCTGTTAACCGGTGGTGGTTTGAAGAAGTTAGTTTGTCTTCCAAACTCTATTATACTAACTGTGGCGGTGATGACGTTTGTCACAGCTGTACGTGTCTTGGCGGTGATGTAGGAGTTCCAAGTCGCCCTTACAGAGGAACACAGAACTTTCTCCTGACACATGAGAGGCTTTTGCTCAGTCATCCCGACATCCAATCAATCACTGGCCCTTTGTTCACTTTGGGATACAAAAAAAACTCCTTTTTCTCCCTCTGTCCAACTTGTACTTTCCCTGCCCTGGGACAATGTGGTGCTCACACTGAGCTGTTGGAGTTCTGGACAACATTAGCAACATATCAGCAGTAGTGGTTTTATGAAGTCAATAAAAACCCCAGACGTGGCCCTGAAGCCCAATAGATATGAATCTCTTGGCCAAAATGTTGGTTTACTGGAACAGTGTTTGACTGTAGTATTCACAAAACAACAGACTTTTGTACTTTGTTCCCAAAACAATTTAGTGTTATTCACTACTTATTTGGATTATTTCAGTCAACCATCTTTTGTTACTCTTTTATAGGTCAAAACTTTTTGTATCAAAAAATAAGGTTACGCTAATATAAAGATAAAAACACTACAGTAAAGCTCCGCTGAACCTTCTGAACTTTGTTTAGCGCGGCAGGAAGCTTCAGTTTTTGACAAAAACAAGTCAGATCAGTGACGCAGTGGTTAGCACTGTAGCCTTACCACAAATATCTTC